AGTTGTCTTGGACCGAGTCAGGAAATTGATACACCATGTCTTGCTCTTTAATCTCTTATGCTTCAATAATGCACTTGACTTGGCACCTCGATGTTCCTTACACATCATCATATGCACTTTGATTCTATGTTACACGACGGTCAGAATGCTAACCATCTTTGCCACTTAATTATGTGACAAGGATTAAGTTAGTAGTCAATTGGCAAACTCGTGGATTTAAGAGAAATTAACAGGTTAGCTGCTAGCATAAGTAGAGACCACAGAGTTGCATAAGGCAGTAAACAATTGATGAATGGTAGAACAAAACCTTGGGCAAATGGAAGTGTGGGCATGTGGATACAACAAATAAAGACGCAAATAAAAAAGCGTTGCTACGTAAAAAAGAGCTCCCTTATCGCAGGACCTTAATTTCATGTCATAGGTTGTAAATAGTAAGTACTAGTAATAATATATATTCCCCAACAATTTATTTACGAGCTTATGATATTTATTCCCCAAGAGTTACTCACGAGTTACACAATTGCACAAAAGACTTGCAAAGATCGAAAAGTATCATGAACGATTTTATATCTCATTGTCGGAAAATGTTGTGAGATAATCATACCTTCCTTACCTTTATGAATACATAGCTATAGTTTGCAAAAAAAACCTGTTTGGTAGAAAAAAATGTATATGATTTCAATGTTAAATCTTTTTAATTGTTGTGGATGAGGTAGAAAAGCTTTACAATCCAACATGGGCTTAATTTCTAACAAGCTTAGCATCCTCGTTTGTATGATCATATTTATTTTTAGTAAAATTTTTATCACAAAAAAGGACTTACGTTCTTTTGGTGCTAGATTATAAGCTCTAACCAACTGGCGGATGACTTATTAAGATTCACGGACAAATTTTCAAAACCATCTCCTTTTAAAATTTATTTATAAAAAACGACCCATTTCAACCTTAATTTCAAAAACCGCACCCAGGTTGGTTTTGAAAACTGGGTCGGTTTTTGAAAAAAAAAATTTCAAAACTTCACGGGGAGTTGAACTCCCGTGAGTTTTGTTATTGAGAAAACTTCACGGAGTGCAACTCCTGAATTTGAATTTTTTTTTTTATAAAACAGACCTAGTTTCATCTAACTAGGTCTGTTTTTGTAATTAAGCTTGAAAGAGACTTTTTTTGGGAATAAATTCAAAACCGGATCGCGCTTTTAAAAATTTTCCTAAGATTCACATCTCTCTGTATCCTTATTAGTTGCCTTAAGCAACAACAAAAAAAAAGGAACAAGGTTATTTTAATTATGTTTTAGGATCTCAATGTCACTATCTCATTTCAATATGTGGGCCTGTGTAATGTAGGTTAATTTCGACCTAGTTGGTCTCTAGCTCTAGCTATGTGCATTCAATTATGTACTAATGATACTATGTGAAGGATTGATATTTGAATAATAGGTGTGTTGTGGTAATAATGTGATTTTTTTGTTATGTTTTGTAGAAAAACATCATGCCATGGTGTTTCTTTTTCGAAAAGGTGTTTTGAAAACACCATTATAGTTTGATTATATATAGCGGCTGCCGACAGCGGCGGGCGGCGGTGCGTGGCCGACAGCCAGCTGACGTCAGAGGGCGGCGGTCGGAAGGCGGCAACCGGCAGTCGACGGGCTGTGGCGGTGCAACGGCGGTGCTGGAGCGACGGCGACTTAGATGAAAAACAGAATCTCAAACAACCTTTTGGTCCTGTTTGAAAAGTGCTTTAATTTTTGGATTGTTGTAAAGGCGCCAAGTCAAAAAAACGCCGCACGGTGCCAAACGCGTTTAATTGTTTTGAAAAAAAAAACAGAATGGCCAAACAAAAAAACGTCACGGTTGCCAACGCTACATGAAACCAGACACTTTTTTTTTAATAAAAAGTACTGTCCGCCTTACTTGCCCCAGATTGCTTGGTTATTTTCAAAGCGAGACCTTTGATTCTTATGAACGTAGTTGCACATCCTTACCCCGCCCACATTGCTTTCTCTTCTGTATATTATATATCGACTTTCGAGAACCATGCACCCTTATTTGCGACATTTAGGAACCTGTCTTTTTCTTGATTTATCTGTATTAACTGTCAATGCTTTATCCTCTGGTTTTTTTTACTTGAAGAGAGTTCATTTTCCTTTGGCATAGCTTTAGGTGCCCTCCCATTCTAAGTATCAAAGAGTTGGCCGACGTACTGTCTTATAATCGTGTTGCTTGCATTTTATATCTTCCTGGATTTTAATATGTTTTACCATCTAGAATAGCGGGAAACTTATACTATCTTCTTTTCCTTGACCAGCCCATCTGATACTACTCTCTCTTTCAAGTCAAAATAGAATATCTTTTCCTTTTTTTTAGTCCGAGATTATGAATTTGCTTGCTGGTCTTCAAAATTGCATTCCTTCTCTCTTGTGACTGCTGCTGCAGTCTAATCTCTTCAATTACTCGGAATTTCTCTTCTTAAAATATATACTAGCCCTGCTAGCTTTCAGCATAATTCTAGGCTATATTTTAAGGAACATCAGTAATTTTGGAGATTTGATATTGTAATGTACTGCCCTTGGGACTATCCTCTGGTTACTTTTGGTTACCCAATGCAAACTTCATCTGCTAAAAGCTTATCTAACTTTGCCTCTCAAAATGTAGAGATTGAGGAAGAAGTCTTTGAGAGGCAAATGGAGGTTACAGGACATTGCGGGTTTCCATATATCTACGTTGCTAGCTTCGGATTTTAGCATGTGTTTTCTATATTTATGGATTTAACCATAGCCATCGTACTTAATGTTTCTTTTGACGATCATGTATTTCTCATGTATTTTTGTTTGTTGCCAATAGTTCGTTTTGAATGAATTTATGCAGTTATGGGTGGTATTCAGAGTGATTCTTTGACGTGTATTGCATTTAGACGATTTATGCCAAAGGAACCTCCTTCGTAGTGAGGGCAGTATTTGTATTGATCATGAATTTTCTGTGAGCGTAATTAGTAATTCCTATTCTATGGATAAAAAACAATTGTTGAAGTGAATCGCTTTCGTGTTAAGAATTCTATACAAACGCGGCTGCTATGTAACATCTTATGTATTTATGATGTTTTCCCATAGAAACTGCCTTTAAAATAGGATTGTATGAAAAACCACCTTCAAAGTAATAAGGTCGTTAATTGCAATGGCCCCATTAGTGTCACCCAATGCAAAGAAGATTTATTAGTCTATTGTTGCCCAAAATAGATCTCCTATAGTTCACTTGTTGCCAATGACCATCTTAGTGGCCAAGCTCAATATATCCTATTAGTGGGAGGTTTTACAAGTCTTAAAAAAGTTTTTAAAAAAAGCAATTGGCTATCGTATTCTTACTAATAAGAATTACATTGGGTTTATCAGCCCCTCAAATATTTTAATGGATTTTAAAGGTAAACAAACAAATATCCTTTAAAGGCGTCTATTTCGAACAAGTAGCAACTAGAGGTTTTATTTGCTGACAAATAGAATTACGCGGCGTTCTCTGGCAGGGTTGGATGATGATTATTTGGGGGTTTCGACTAACCCTTAATATTGTACATAGGAAAACATCTTGGAACGGGGCTTTCGCTTGAATCAGACCCACATGATAATATCAATTGGGGAAAAATTTTCAAAATACTCATCGCTTAGACATAGGTTTTTTAAGGGTATTTTGAGGATTTCAGTTAAAATTTCATTAAAAAAAACATGTTAGGATGATTGATTGCAACCAGAGCCTCCTTGAAAGTTAGTCATGTACAAATTAAGTTTTGAAGGTGATTTTCAAATAATTGCCCTATTTTAAAGTTGGTTTACGTGAAAGGTACACATTTAGGATTAAGGTTCAGAATACGTACAGTGCATTATACATAAGAATATCGCTTGAATCATATGCGACGAACTTACCCTCGGCGTGGTACGGCTCTATAGCGTGTATAGTATAATGACAACGTGTTGCTGAAGTTTACAAGGCACGGCTTCCTTCGAAGTGCGTGCTGCTGGTGATGGTTTGTGACAACATCTTCTCCGAATGTACAAACTAATACGTTACGTATAATAAACCCATGCGAAGCACGAAAGAAAAAGATGGTGGTAGTGATTTCTGATCCAAAGCAAATTATAAGATTTCTCTGATTTTTTAAGACTACCCTAACTTCTTTCCGGAAATTTTCTAGAAAAAGATAATTTATTTCTTTATCTAGAACCCATTTGGTTTTATACAGGAAGAAGAATCCTACCCTCCAAATTTCTCGGTTACAGATATGACGTAAACCCAAGCATGAAGCATAAAGAGTTGATGGCCCATAGCTTTCAAATACTAATCAAATAACAACGGTCCCCATCACTCACTAAAAAATTCAAACCATCGACACCAAAACAACAGCTCAGAGAACATAACATAAACAACCACACAACTGGCATAAAACCCACATCAACAATAATTTAATGAAAGAGATAAGCAAGCAGAAAGAAAATGTACTGTGTTCAAGAAAGTGGTTATTGGAAATTCTGCCGTCGGCAAGTCCCAACTTCTGTCACCATTTTTGAAAAATGAATTCAGGCCGGATAACCAAGCAACGGCGTCGAGTTCCAGAACAAAACCATCCTCATCGATGACAAGCTCGTCAAAGCCCAGATATGGGACACTGCAGCACAAGAACGCTACCGATCCATCACCACTGCTTACTACAGAGGTGCACTTGGCGCCCTGATCATCTACAATATCACCAATCCCGACACTTTCGAATGTGTCCCTCGCTGGCTTGATCAGCTCAGAGCTTATGCCGACCCTAGCACTGTTATCATGCTCGTCGGCAATAAGTACAACCTTGAGTTGCATTGTGCTGTATCAGTTAAATCTGGAAAAGATATTGCGGAGAAAGAGAGGTTACTGTTCTTGGAAACCTCAGCATCGGATGCAACCAATGTTGAGAAAGCATTTCTGATAGTTTTGGAGAGGATTTACCAGACGGTTAGTCGGAAAACGCTTCAGGGAAGTGAGGAACCGCCGCCGTTGGTGATCAAGTCTTCGCTTCAAGGGATGAAATTGGATGTGAAGGAGAACCAACAGAGATACGGGTGTTGTACACAGTAAGAACAGAGGTAGCATACAGTGAAGAAGCGTTACTGTTGTTGGAATAACAATGATACATTCATTCCCTGAAGAATAAGAGTGTTGCAAAGCAAAACAATATAATAGTAAGCATGTAAATATCCGTGGAGGAAAACTATTACATCTTTGATTTTTACACTGATCATGATTAGGACTTCTGGCATGAATGATTCCACCCCTTTTATCGTGTTTCCTGCTAAAGGAAAGAAATTGTAAGGACAAGCTAACAGAGACGACTCAATATACCATTTATAGAAGGGGTTAACTGTGGATAGATCACCTCTACTCATATTGTTGCAGACAGATCACCTGGATTCTCAACTCTGTTAGTTTTCCCTTTTAAATTCATTGTTTGTGACGATCATTATGCAAGTTTATAGCAAGTAAATCAGTTTACGAAGCTCGTATACTTCGATCCTTGAAGCCCAATCTTGACATGAAACTAAGAGGGACCAGGAGGTCTATCTATAACAATAGAAGTACGGGAGTCTATCCGTAATTAACCCCTTAATGGAACCATTTAGTCTTGTTCTTATCAAATTTCCCAAAGTGGTCGATATAAGCCACTTAGCCACATGGTAAGGTATATATGATAAACATGTGGAAGAATATTGACTTACTGGTAAATAAGCAGAAACTTTGTTTTTTTACTTCAGAAATCTCGGAAACTCATTTTTGGGTCTTCATGTTTACCCCTTCCTCTACCCCTGCGGCCTCCTCTGCCGCGACCTCTTCCTCTTCCCCTACCTCGTCCACGCCTAAAGAATGACTTCCCATGCTTCATTTCCACAAGAGAATGTAATAGCTCATCACATAGAATACATCCCTCATAGAGAGTAGTTCCATCACTTAGTGGAGTTGTCTTCTTGTTGAAGTCCACTTCAATTATGGTCGAATCACAGTCCGGGCACCTTTTACCCGTTGTGGAGATCCTATGTGCACCCTGAGGAAGAGAAACAATACAATTGCACACATTGCAGTAGAGCCTCCATTTGGGTGCACTTACAGGGTCAAGGACAAGGGTCCCACTGCACTCGGGGCAAGCACAAACACCTTGTGCTATCAAAGAATGGCGGCAAGTTGGGTGCGGGCAAAGGAAGCAGGGCATTCCAGCACCTTTGCCTAGTTTGCCTGCACTACTGAATTTTAGGGCACCAAAGACTTTATCGATCCCTTCAAATGGAGGGCTATTGTAACAATAGGGGCAGAGTGGGAAACACTTTCCATCTGGGCCAGCCATGGAGAAGAGGAGGAGCTCAAAGCCATCCAAAGGACATGTGATTTCCTTGTAAAGCTGAGGAAAATGACAACTGTTAGAAGAACTGTTAAAATGAATAACAAGTATCTACTTGCATCAGTAAGCTGGTTTCAAATTGCATTGCTTCAAAATAAAGTCGATCTATTTAAACAATCCTAAAGAGACAGCGGCAGCCGGGGGGCGGGGCTCTAACGATAAATTTCCTTCATTTCTTATGTGCTATGCATGTGAGATTAGCTAACTCAAGGCACTGCCAAATACAATTTTTACTCGAAGATTGTATGTCTTTGACAGACATTCTCCTAGATGTTCTAATATTATTTGTCACTGTAGCAAATGAAATAATGCAAGTTTCAGATGAGCCAGTCAACACACTGGCAGACGGGGAGCTAGCATAGTGTGTGTCAGGTGACACCATATCATACAATTAATGAACCATATGTGAGCTTATGAAGCAAACTGACCCCAAATTATTTGGATTAGTAATCAAGTGAACCACTCCACTCTTAATAGCCATACCTAGATAAAGTTACCCTCTGGACCATAGACTTAAATGGCCCAAGTTCACCACGTATCAATTGATTCTGATAATTATTTTTGAAAAAGAAAAAGAGATACATAAGTTTAAGTTGAAAATAATGTGTTTAGTGTATTTCAAATGGGCTATTATCGAACAATTTCAAAACAAGAAGGACAAGTATTGGCAATTTGTAATTGTATTACGTGAAAATTTAGTAGTAAAGTCTTTAATAAATATCGTGACACCATTCTGATGAGTTCTTGACTCCACCATTGCTGGTAGTAAGTAGATTATCAAGGGTGCTCTCCACCAACCATTTATATGCTGGACAGTTGAACAAATGTAGATTCTGATAAGTAGTATGTAGAGGATGGTTGGTCACTTGTGTAAACAGAAATGTTATCTCAAAAGTCGCATCTTCAGGTCATGGAAAAAAGCCTCTAAATGAGAAGGGCAGGGCTTCATACTCGACACTTCCCATCCCTGCAATTGCAGAAACCTCTGTGCATTTTGGAGCCTCTTATATTAGCGGCTCGATATGACAGATGATTTTTAAAATATTCTATCATTGTTAAACACCTTTTATGGATCCTTCGTTAATTTCATCAATACTATGTATATATTACATATGCTGCTGAAGTCAATTTCAAGTCTCTTCTCTTCTCAATTCCTACGATTTTTTTCTCCTCTTCTGTTATTGCTATTTAAATGCTTATTAGCTTACCATTTCCATTTATACAATGTCTCCCCAGTATTTTTGAACTTGGTGCTAGAGAACACTCCTAGTTAGTGAAAAATATCTGGAATGAACATGTAGTCACATAACATTTCTAAGAACCCCTTCCTTATGTCCTAGACACTTTTCGAATGTGTTCCAAGTTAGTAATACAAAAATGCAAATGTAAAACAATTCTGTTGATACTTTCTGACACTTGTAAGATGATTTCACATATATTAAGAATTAAGACATTGTTATACAATCAATGTTTGACCTTTTTTGAAACAAAAACTATGTTTGTATATACAAATATATCACAATGATTTATCATCAATTAAACCAATAACAAACTTGAGGTTCAATACAGTGAACAGCAATATTAACCTCCCAATGGAAAGATGAGAAAAGGCCATTTCTATGAATATCCACTTTCCTGTAGCAATGCGTCAGTTAAGTTACTCCAAATAATACGGATTCATAATAAAAAAAAAATATATATGGAATATATTAATTCCATAAGTCATGTTATATTTCTTCAACTGAGTTAATCTCCATTTTTATACTTCAAATAGCGTAGGGCCGTAGGCATGCCTATGATATAGACACCACTGCTTAGTGATGTCATTTTCATGCCATATCTGTATGCTCAGCTATCAAGATACGCTGTATGCGAAACCTGGATGGATTGTAGCGCTAAGCTAGTAAGTTTATGGGTGATGGAGTTAAGCGAGGATAGAGCAAACCAGGATAACTCATATTGCTCTCACACTGTCCTTCTTATCCTTTTCACTTGTGCATTTATCTCTTTACTCATCACTAATCTTAATAATTGTGTGCTTATTCCTTGCTGTATTTAACTTGCTTCTGCTTAGCTTGATCTAAATTTACCATCCTCGCACATTACCCCACCTGTGTCCCCTGCCAAAATGCTTGCGTACTATGCTTAACAATCAGTATACATACTTAGGGAGGCATATGAAAAACATGTCAACGATTGTCCCAGTTCTGCACAAATTAATATTTCAATAGCTTGAAAGATTCTAAATCATCTTATGAAGGGAAAAATACAAAGAATAGCTCAAAAAATTCATCTCACGAACAGATAGTTATGTATAAACTGATTGAAGAACCATGTTAGCTTCATAATTTTCAGAGTGCGACCTGATGTTAAAACTATTAACTTTTTATGTGTAAATGAATACAGCAATGTAGAATCAATGTTTCAGATATGATATGCATAAAATCATATCTTAAAGTTCTGGAACATGGAACATGCAAGGTGTACCTAATGCATATCCACTAAGGCCTGTTTGATTGATTCCTAGAATCAAAGAAAAGAGAAATAGTAGAAGGAAATCATCATAAAGTTAATTTCCACCTATTTCCTCAAAAAAAAAAAAAAGGAGGAGCGGTCATAAATGAGTTTTCCTTAATATAGTCACGTCATCAATAACATGGTGGCATAACTCATCTCACACTCTATGTCTTATTTTACGAGCAGAACCAAACAAAGAAAAAGCATGAAATAGTTTTCCATGTTTTTAGCCAACAAACGAGCCCTCAGCACGATACGAACTATCATATGGAATTTCTTTGTCCATGCAAGTACAATGCCTTTATAGAGAATGAATTTAGCAACATCCAATACCTCACACTTAGCGAGTATGCACTATTACTCAAAGTACCGACAAATAGCACCACCTGCAATTGGCCTGCCGCTAATTACAATTGCGGGCTCCTTCATAACATTTCTGTCAATTGGTGCACTGCTCCCGCCGCGAAAACCCTAACCGCTTTAACTCCAAATCATTGTCGACTCTGCAACTTCCACCAACAACTCCTCAACTTCAGTTAAAAGTCCATCAGCTACTCAACTCTCATCGCCGCTCTCCACCGTTTAGATTTGACCGCCAGCAAGAGCAAACATCAAAACATGTGATTTTTGCTTTTTTCTTTCATTTTTATTGATTTATCTGATTATATAAATTGATGGTAGTTAGTTATTTTAGATTATCTTTTAATTTTTTCTTATTTTTTAAAATTTATAATATTTAAATTGCGACAGCTAGTTGACTTTGCGTTTTTTCACTATTTTGCTGCTATAGCCCCAAATGCTGTTACTTCACTGCTACGCTACGCTATCCGCTATTGATAATCTTGAAAGCCTTTTTGGGTTCCCAATCCTTTTTCATAGTCAATTCCTAAAAATCTGTCAAAAGAAATATGAAGAGAAACCTTTGATAATGATCAATTCTTAGCAAATGAGATGGATTGTCTTCAGAATCACAACAATGACTACGAGTTGTCATTTCTAGTTTCTTATTCTTGAAGAGAATAAAAAAACAAGACATGAAGGGGACTGAGGTATATAAAGACTATAGCTAGGTTGATAGGCCAAACAGCTTAAAGAATGCTAGAAAAAAAAATTCCAATTAACTATCCAGATTACTGTCTAATGTAGATATAAATAGTGTACTAGATGCATTTTAAGCATACCAAACAATTGAGTGACAAAAAGATGGGAAAATGATGGTATAGTAGTTTACTATTTTCAAGTTCTCAAATACCGGCTACAGAAAAATATTAGTTTATACAATATACCTTGATGGTTCCATTTTGAGGTAGATGATAGACCTCCTCACAAGTGATACAATACAACCTTGTTGGTTGACTGGATATGTATTTCATGTACCGTGTACATTTACCGCATTTGCTAAGTAGACGTCCAGAATCTGCTAAAGGCGAAAATTGTGCTTCAAAAAGCGCATCCATGTTTTCAATCTGCAACCCAAGGGAAAGTATGCACAATGATCATAATGGGTTATTGAATTTATCCATGGGATAAAAAGAGCATGAAAGAAGTGAACTATGTCAATTGGAAGGTAGGCTGATGCTCTAACACATCAATACTAAGATTGTCACATGTTACATAGTAACCGATATAAATACCTTTGTCACTTGTTTTATTAAGGTCAATAGTGAACAAGTCACTCAACTCGCATAGTTTATTTGACCTGCGTAAATGTCCCTTAAGGGACACCACATAACTAAAAAATTTCAAGATACACAATGCACACTAACAAAGCAATGTCAAACATGGCACACTCAAAGTCCCATCACTACTCTCCCAATACAGCACTCTTAAACAAGTTTCTTGCTGATCGGAAATAAATTATGACAGAGAAGCGATTTGGATTAGCTAAGCACATTACAGAGCCACAGTGAGGAAGAATCACTTAGCAACAAGCATGGTTGTCAGAGAATAGCAACAGGCAAATCCAGGCCACACTAAAGGACAGGACGACCATAGTCATTAGTGCAAAACTGTAAGTACTAAACAAGATCATGTATAGCAGTTGCAATGACCATCTGTTGGCAGGCTGCGGTCCACCAGATATGTTATACAGATCAAACTGGGAGAGGAAAATAACTCCAAGGGACAAGGCTGATAATAGGGAATGAACCTGGCAATCTGATGTAAAACGTGTCATGGAGGCGTTCATGAACCAACTACATCGGCAGATGCCCAAACGGGGGCGTGGAATTTTGACTTGCAGATGGAGAAAGAGTTCTCCCAAACCATGGTTTTTCAAGCCATGGTAAAATCAAACAAACTATATATGAAAATCGTGTAAATTTTCGAGATGGAGTCAACCAAACCCACCAAAGTTCGGTTTGCTGCCGTTTGTTTCACAAAATTCTCTCCGAATTGAGAGATATCAGACTTTTTGTCCTTTTTTTTGCTATTTTTTTGTAATGATTTCGGAGTTACTTTTGATTAGGAAACGAATCCGGTTTGATCTCAAATTTGACCAATTGATTTCCTCAATCATAGGAAGTCTTTTTAAGTAGTTTTCATACTTTCTGTTTTTCACAATTTTAGTCTTATTAGCAGTCTACTTTTTTTTCTATTCACGAAGAGGATTGTAAGCCCTAAAGTCATGCTTTTGACTAATAAGATTCCTCTTTTATATTACTTCTTGGCTTCGAGGTTGCTTCTTTATGGATGTTGAATGGATTTTCTTTGTGGATATAAGTAATACCACTGGATGATCTGGGATTTTTTATTTTTTTTTTTTTTTTTTTTCACCCTTCTGTGTTGTGTCACAATAGCCAGAGAAGAAAGTAGGATGGGAGATATAATACAGATTATAAGGATTTCTATTCTTCTCACTTTCCAACACCCAAAAAGTATTGTTTGTTAGACTCTATACACTTTCTACCAACACTTTTCTGAACACAAGGAAGACTTATATCTGAAAAATTTATAATCTTGTAAGTCGAATTTCTTCGTAGAAGTTTTCACTAAAATCTAGGTCAAGGCACATTACCTAAAACTGATATGTACAAGGACAACATGTTTGCGTTGTGGCCGATCTTAAATGTACAACAAGACTACTTGTGTGACACACCTGTTGGTTGATGCACGCATTATCCAAATTATAAAGGTTCTGTGCTAACACAGGCATAGGAAATTCTTTCGACGCAACATGGAATTGTTTATAGCCAAACGCTTTTTGCAGTCAATTATGCCGCGTATTTCTCTTAACACCGTACTAAACACCTAAGGTAAAATAATTTATTATAGCCTAGTTGAAGCTAGTCCCATTCAAGGCATAGAATTTCAAACAATAATGGATGGAATATATAATATTCGTATGTCAGCAGTCTATATAACTAACAGAAAAAAGTCTATATAACAACAAAAACAATGCTTTATACAAATTTTTGGGTCAGCATACATAAATACTAATTTTCTCTCGTTCTAATTTGGATTTTATTCCTATGTTAAGTTACTACTAATCATATCCTTCTTAATTGCTTTAATCAAGGGTTCCTGTCTTGATCATAATCACTAATATGTAATATGTGAGTTTACATTCTGCGTTGATCTTTTTCATAACAATTGTAGTTAAGGAAGCATGATTCCTTGTGCTTGCTCATCTGCTGCATCTGTCGCTATCATTACCCCCACTACAATGCTGGTTTTAATACTATTCATACCTATATCAGGTAAGTGCAAAATTAAAGATGGTTTTATCAACAGTGTGTTCGCGAGGTTTTAATACCCAGTATTTAAAAGCTGTAACAATGTATAATTAAAAACCATATAATAAATGTAACACATACAACAGTAATTTTACTTAAACCGAATAATGAAGTTCAAGTTTGATTGCATTTGAATTTTCAGAAGTTCTGCAGGGAATATTTAAATTTACTGTTCATCTCGCACAGTAAATTGGCATCGTTCTGCGAGAGTTCATTCCTTTTCAGTCATTTTCATGAGGGAACTTCTTTATTTCCAGTATGGTCAGTTTCAATTATGTTGTCATTCTAGACCTTTGCGATACTATTTCGGAGGCTGCTCAGAACATCCTGCAAGTGCATTACCATGAATCGTTTATCGTTAGAAGGTTTAAAATAGAGATTAGCAAAAGCGAAGTAATTCCATTTGACTATATATCATATCGTATATATGGTGAACTTGAATAAGTATCAGGGTTAACAAATAAGAAGATTTAAGTGAAGCGTTGAAGAGTGTAGCATCCTGCTTAACAAACAAATAAGAGTATTTCTGAGATAAACTGTTTGAAGAACATGTTGAACACAAACTATGATTGGCGACTTTTAGCAATCAGTGTGATTTGCACTGCTACTATAAAGCTACGAATGTCTGGCAAGCAAAGTCTGGATCATGCATGTACGTTGGACGATCTAAAAGGTGGTTCACAGGAGTGGGTAACAGTCTCCTCCAGGTTGTTTGTACCTTCATAAATAACAAGAACGAAATTATGTCAGGAGGAATCGACAAATTTTTAGATAATTGCGTAAACACACATGAGGCTGTGTGTAACTCAGCAACAGTAAATATTTTGTATCAGTGCGGAAGCGCAGAAAATTTGGGAAGCGGGGGTCCAAAAAACTTAATAATAAGTCAATATATAATTTCATTTTATTCAATGATTGGATTCATTCTATAAACATACCTAGCATAAAAGACTTTCAAATTAAAGCATAAATGGATAATAGCAATTTACAATACTAGGTTTTTAGAAATTTAAATTTTAATTTGAATTTTATTTATTCTTATGATTATTAAATTTGATTTTATCCATTAGTATAGGATTGTATGGAGTTAAACTGTCTGATATCGTCAATGTTTAACTAAGAAAAGTAGTAGTAATGTACGGCTTGTTAAAACAATAGCATATTTAAATGATAAGAAGAAAAAAGGAGGGTTATATAATGCAAAGTCAGTAAAAATTCGTTGCATTTAAAGGCTGTTTGGTTCAAAAAAATAAAAAGACATTGAAATCTCAGCTTGCACATAGACTTTGATGTTTGCACTTTACTTTTTCCACAGTTGTGTTCTCGTCATGGTTTTAAAGGGGGAGGAAGTAGGCAAGAAACCCACCAGCATGCCACTTCTCAAAAGAACCCCATTTCCAAAAAATGCTCGGATCCAGGGAAACCAAATGTTATGGCTTAAAAAATGGCACACTTCCCATTGTTCAAGCAAACCCCATTTCCTATATTTGACTTCCTACTTTTATGTTGTGAACAAATAACAGATCAATTGGAAATCCATTTCCGTTCTTTTATGGGCAAAACCAAACATGGGACTAGCATTTTAGGGAAACCCTAGAAAACTCATGAAAAGGGTTTTTTCTCTGACTTTAAATTCTCTATAATTTGGGAAACAAATCAATCAGGGCCTAGTTTAAGAAAAAAAGGGGCAGGGTATGCAAATGCAAGTCATTAAAACCACTAGTAATAGGGTATTTAAATCTATTAGCCAAAGAAAATTGAAAAAAATCAGCAAAACCTAAGCCTTTATTCAATGGGTTTTTTGCGCCCAGGTGCTCCGCATTAATACTTTTTCATCATCTATTAAAAAAAAAACATTTAAGTATTTTCGCAAAACACCCACACAAAAAGAAATAATATTCATCATCCTTTTCCTCTCTTTGTTTCAGGAAACGCCGTCAAGCATCCTTTGATTTCTTTCTCAGAATAAAGTCCGAATTAAATTCTAAATTTTAAAGTTTCTTTCGCATCATTTAGGGAGACATGTTCTTATTTAATTCTATAAGTTCATGTGTATCAACTCCAACCTGCATGTTACTCCATATTTACTTTTTCTTTTTTTTTCTTTTTTTTACTTTTTTTTTCTTCATTTTTGGTTGGGGGGGGGGGAGCAGGAGCGCGGCAGAACGGGCAATGGCCTCTTTGGGCCCCTATAATAATCCCCCCGTGACTTCTTATGGACGTACAAGGGCAGAGTGGATTAAACCACACGAAAAGAGGCAGCAGTGGAATAACCACATGAAAAGAGGAAAGAAACGTTTAGGAAGACCTGCACTAGTTACGCTGCATATGTTGTTTATATGTACAGAAATTGAAGCATGCGTTCTGATTCACTGGCTTTTCGCATTTAGAGATATAGATCAACTCTGCTGAGGTAATCTTGAGGGCGAGGTGCTACCAAAAATATAATGAAGATATAATGGTATTTAGAATTTGATACAAACAAATTCTGGAAGCCACCACTACATAAAGGTAATATTCGCGTATATTACAAATGACTTGTCTAAGCCTAAGAACCAAACATTTAATAAAAATAAAGTTCACTCATATACTCAACTTTGCATGTTTATTCTCTCTCCCTTTGTAAACTGAGAAGATTTTTTCAGCTAACAGCCCAACCATGGCATGATAGATGTAAACCCTTTAGCTATGACATGCTGACCCACACAGTGGAACATCACCACCAAACAGTA